TTCGCTTTATGATGATCAAAAACAGCTGATCGTTGGATTTCAAAATGGCCCCCCGTTGTGCTTAGGGATGGATTCCTCGCTGCACAGGAACCAAAACTGGCTGCCCCTATGGAGGATCTTCACTGGACAGTGAGTTTTCAGCCCATTGGAATGCACTGAACGGTTTTCAATGCATTTCAATGGGCTTTTTAAATTTCTCTTTACGACGTTTTCGCTCTACAGCGATTTTGCTGGAACGAATTAACGTCGTTAAGCGAGGCACCACTGTACATGGATTTTGAACTACACAGGGGTCTAGTGCCGCTAACTCCAGCATTGGTGAAACGAGAAGTGTGCCTTCCTTTGAAAGGGCACATTTCTGTTCTGAGGGGAAACAACAGCACAAAAAAAACACACCCAGATCCCTCCATCGTGCTTCCAGACAGGTCGTGGGAGGGTAAACTCAAGGAAGAAAATACATACATTTTGGAAAGGCTGGTATGCAATTATTCTCCACACAGCAGGAAATATCTGCCTTGAAAGATTTTCCTTCACCTAGAGCCACATCCACCGGCTCTAAGTGGCAGATAAAGGACGAGGTACAGTTCTTACTGACGGTCCAAAATTTGTTGGTGCCTGGAAGGAGAAAAGGTGGAAAATGAAAATACATTTGGAGGCTGATGAGTATGAATTACACTATTTCAGTCGGATGCACATGCCGGATGGGAGACGTCTGCTGATACCTTGCAGAATTTAAAGCATGATTGTGGCTTACTGGCCATCACAAATTCTCCCTCCATGCTGGAGGACAGCTTTTCCAAACCTCTTGCCATCCTGATCTCTTGTCTGAGTTTCCTTTATCCATATCAAAGCATGGCAAAATTTAAAACGACAAACATATATGAAACACCGATAAAATTAAAACCAAATTAGACTATTGGACTATTTTGGACCAGAAGCGGGCTACTTCAATGGTGCTATCTCAGCCATTTTCTATTTCCTTTGGTCCACGTGGCAAGGCATAAATCGCATGTACGTACGAGCTGCATTGATTGAATTACTCCAGTCACAGGAAAAACATGCCCTGTATTGAAATAGAGCCATTTTAGTTGATTATTCCTTGATCATCACTTTAATTACATGACTTCCAAATGGTCCAGCTAGAGTCTTATCCGAGTGGGAGACATCCTTCAGCATCCAA